GTGTGTCAGCGTGGGCAGAGTCAAGTGGCCTCTGACGCACGGCCATCCCACGTGTGTGTCAGCGTGGGCAGAGTCAAGTGGCCTCTGACCCACGGCCATCCCACGCGTGTGTCAGTGTGGGGCAGAGAACTTGATTTGGCCTTGACTCTGGTTTCCAAAAACAGCTGAGCAATTCAGGTGCCCTTTGTTTTCCAAAGGATCCTTGGTGGCATAGTGGTTAAGGGATCAGCTGCTAACCCACAGGTCAGTGGTTCAAAACCCACCAGCCACTCCACAGGAGAAAGATGAGGCAGTCTGCTTCCATAAAGATGACAGTCTTGGAGACCCCATGGGAGTCGTTCCCCTATGTCCTTCAGGGCTGTTGTGATCAGAATCGACTCTACAGCAGTGGGTTTGGTTTTTTGGTTTGTTTTCTAAAATAACCAGGTAAGTAGGGGCTCCACAAGCTCCCCACCTGCCCAACCAACTTCTGAAAGGTGGGGGGGGGGCTGATCTAGTCATGCGTAGTCACTGACTGGATCCACAGTGACTGTGCATGATGGTCCCAGTAAGTTGGGACTTAATGGCAGTGGGTTTATATGCATATAAAGTAACTGCTCAGAAAAAACTTCATGTTCAAATTTCACTGAGTTCTGATTATTTCTAACGTTAGCCTTGTGTTGCCTATCATTCATATAGTCAGAAACTTGAAAAAGGAAATAGGACGTGGTAACACAGTGGGTTTATCCAGACTTGAGATGCAACCCCTTTGCTTGATGGACTAGGGGCAGTGCAGCGAGAAGGAGGAAGGGCTTCTGAGCTCTGCAGAGGTGGGGGATGGGCAGAGAGCCCCTTTACCCAGGGAGGCCATGTGAGCTATGGAGTGGTGGAGGCTAGGCAGAGACCCCCTCACCCAGACAGGCCAGGTGAGCTGTAGGCGGAGAGCCCTCTCACCCAGGGAGGCCAGGTGAGCTATGGGCAGACAGCCCCCTCACCCAGGGAGACCACGTGAGCTGTGGGCAGACAGCCCCCTCACCCAGGGAAGGCAGGTGAGCTGTGGACAGACAGCTCCCTTACCCAGGGAGACTAGGCTCCTGTAGTTCTCCAACATCACGTTCCGGTACAGGCTCCTTTGAGTGAGGTTCAGCCATTCCCACTCCTCCTGGGAAAAGTTCACAGCCACGTCCCCAAAGGTCACTAAGCCCTAAAATGACAGACACACATTCTTGCTCAACCATTGCTCCCGCCCCGACATGGCTCAGGGTCTTCATGTTGGAAAAGAAACAACATGCACAAGGAATAAAACTGTGTCATTTGGAGAGCCAGTTAATTAATGGACAGCTGGCCTCGTTATGGAGTCCCTGGGTGGCACAGTTAACACACTCAGCAGTTTACCAGAAGGTTGGTGGTTTGAATCTGCCAAAAGTGCCTTAGGAGAAAGATCTGGCTATTTGCTCCTGTAAAGACTACAGCCTAGGAAACCCCATGGGGCAATTCTAGTCTGTCCTACAGGGTCGCTATGACAATTGACTCAACAGACAATGGATCTTGCTGGTTTCACCATCAGTGGGAAGGAGGGAGGTTTTGCTTAAGGGACAGTGAGTTTATATTAATGATGGTGGAGTGATTTGGAAAAGGATAGCAAGAATGATTGTGTAACATGACAAATGTAATCTCATTACTGAACATTTTGATCAAAGATTCTATAGAAGAGTCCTGATCAAAAGGGGGGAAATGCAGAACATTATTTGAAATCTCATGAACCACAGACTTCCTAGAACCATGAAAGTTGGATGAACCCCTGAAACTACTGCCTTGAGATAAGCTGGCAACCTTAAACCAAAAATATCCCCTGAACTCTTCTTACAACCAAATGATAGTTAAGCTTAACTAGTAAAGCAGGTCTGCCATGGATGTTGGCTCTTTCAAGAATTATTGATCTGATATCAACTGAGTGAATTTATGTTAGCTGAGGAGGAACAATTCAGAAAAGGAGAATGAAAATGGTTGTACAACTCAAAGATTGTGATCAATGTCATTAAATGGTTCGTGCAGAAACTGGAATTGTGGTATGTTTTCATGTGTACATTCTCAGCAAAATAAATAAAATTTTCAAGAAAAGAATGAAATCCGTGTTGCTAAACTGTACATGAGGGAGCTCTGGTAGCATAGTGCCTAAGGCACTTGACTGCTAACCAGAAGGCTGGCGGTTCAAACCCAGCAGCCACTCCTAGGAAGGAAGATGGGGCAATCTACTTCCGTAGTGATACTGCCTCGGATACCCAAGGAGGGGTTGCTATGAGTCGGGTCCAACTCGATGGCACATAACAACAACAATAAACTGTACATGTAGAAATGACTGATGATGTACGATGATGTATGGCATGTATTGATATGTACGTTTAAAAAAAAAATAAAAGAACCAAGGTGTCGTGTGAAGGAAGCAGGGCATCCCAGGCAATCATGAGCACAAGGAGGAGCTGTGTTCACTGCAGGACCAGCACTTACAGGATCACCTCAGCTGACCGTGCTTTGATTTACTGCACTTTGCAGATACTGTATTTTTAACAAAGTGAAGGTTTATGGTAGCCTTGTGTTGAACAAGCTGATTGGTACCATTTTCCCAACAGCACATGCTCACTTGTGTCTCTGTGTCACACTTTGGTAACTTGCACAATATTTCAAACTTTGTCCTCGTGCTGTTGCACTCAATAGACTATAGTATAGTGTCAACTTCTTTATGCACTGGGAACCCAAAATACATTTGACCCTCTGTATTGTGGTGTTTGCTTTACTGCAGCGGTCTGGAACCAAACATGCATTATCTCTGACGTCTGCCTGTCCTGACTTAGAGGTGAGTGACACCACGTGTGTGCTGTGTGGCTGCTGGCAGAGCTTCTGTTGCTTGTTTTATGATTTTAGCACACACATCTGATATGTTTAGTGTATTTTTAAAATACTTTTCTTTCTTTTTCTCATTTGACAATCTTGTTAAATGTAATTCTAAAGAAAACAGTGAATAAACGTTTTTGCTCCCGTAACCAGCTGCTATGGAGTTGACTCTTACTCCTCGAGACCCCTTGTGTATCAGACTGCCCCAAAGGCTTTCCTGGGCTGGGATCATTACAGAAGCAAACTGCCACGTCTTTCTCCTGGGGAGCTGCAGGGTGTGTTAGAACCACCCTTTCAGCTAGCAGCTGAATGCCTAAGCATTGTGCCAAGAGGGCTCCTTATGAAAAAAGCCAAACTCATTGCCACTGAGTCGATTTCAACTCATAGTGACCTCCAATGGGTTTCTAAGACAGTAAATCTTTATGGAAGCAGACAGCCTCATCTTATTCCACAGAGCGATTAGTGCGTTTGAATCACTTATCTTTTGGTTAGCAGCCAAGTGCCTTAACCACATCACCACTAGGGCTCCTTAAGGGCTTTAAAATTAAAAAAAGAAGAAAGAAACACATTTTTCTAATGTGATATAAACATATACAGCAAGACACTGGTCCCCACAACTTTCACATTTACATCCAGTGACACTGATGAGGTTTCCCATGTTGTGTCACCCCTATCAGTATCCTCTTCCACCATATCCCACCGCCATCAACATGGACTCCCCTTCCCCCTTCCTCTCAGCCCTGGTAATAATCTTTGCTTTCTGTCCTGGAAGAAGTGCGGCGGGAATGCTCCTTAGAAGCAAGAACGGCCAGACTTTGTCTCACATATCTTGGCCATGCTGTCAGAAGAGATCAATCCCTGGATAAGGACATCATGCTTGGCAAAGCAGAGGGTCTGCGAAAAAGGGGAAGACCCTCAACAAGACAGATTAACACAGTGGCTGCAATGATGGGCTCAAGCACAGCAACAATTGGGAGGGTGGTGCAGGGCCGGGCAGTGTTTCAGTCTCTTGACAGAGGGGGGTCACCGTGAGTCAGAACTGACGCAATGGCACCTAACAACATGTCATGGATCGTATTATGTCTCCCCCAAAATATGTGTCCAATTGGCTCGGCTACGATTCTCAGTATTGTGCGATTTGCATCGTAAATCCTAACCTCTGCCTGTGGTTAAAGGAGCAATAATGGCACAATGGTTAAAGCATTTGGCTGCCAACCAAAAGGTCAGTGGTTCAAACCTACCAGCTGCTGCTCCGTGAAAGAAAGATGAGACAGTCATTTGCCTGTAACAAGTGCCCGACTTGGAAACCCTAGGGGGGCAGTTCCACTCTGTCCTCTAGGGATGCTGTGAGTTAGAACTGACTCCACTGCAGTGGGTGTGTACTTTCTGGAGAGAGCAACTGCTAGAAAAGACATGGTGTTTGGTCACGTAGAGGGTCAGTGAGAACAAGAGACCGTCCCTGAGGTGGGCTGACAAACCAGTGATCACTAAGGTATCCCAGCAAAGGGTTCTTTCCTGTTGTCCTCAAAGTTGCCAGCAGTCAGAGCCAACTTGGTGGCTACCGACACCATGGCTGCTTTCAATTACAACAGCAGAGTCGAGCCGCTGCAATGGGGGCTACAGGACCAACAAAGCCTAAAGTATTTACTACATGCCTTTTACAGAAAATGTTTGTTTACCTGCGAGCCACTGCAAATCCAGTGACAGTCACAAAGACGAGGAGCAAGACCTGACCACTCCCTTAGGTGATGTAAGGGGCTCTGGCGCTGTAGAGGGTAAGGCATCTGGCTGCTAACCAAAAAGGCTGGTGGTTAGAACCCACCAGCTACTCTGCAGAAGGAAGATGAGGCCGTCTGCTTCCATAAAGACTGACAGCCTTAGAAACCCAATGGGGGTCGCTATGAGTTGGCATCAACTGGATGGCATGAGCTTGGTTTTTGATTTTGAGGTAACGTGGACCTTGCTGGTAACCTTCTAAGCAGCTGTTTGGGTGGAACAACTGGATGCTGGTCCACATATTTATGAGATGGCTATCGTCCATTTAAGGAGCCCTGGTGGTGGTTCAAACCCACCAACCACTCCTCAGAAGGAAGACTGGGCAATCTACTTCTGTAGAGATACCACCTCAGAAACCAAAAAGGGGTCGCTCTGAGTCGAACTGACTTGATGGCAGTGAGTTGTTTTTTTTTGTGTGTGTGTGTGACACAAAAGCATTTGGGTGCTAAATGAGAGGTCCCACCCAATGACTCTGAGGGAGAAAGATCTGCACCCATAAAGCTTACAGCTGAGAAGACCCTCTGGGGAAGTTCTGCTCTGTCACAGAGGGTCCCTACAAATCGGGATCCATTCACCAGTGCATAACAACAATGGCAATCCTACATTTCTGCTACACAGCTGATGGAAACCAGCAAAACCATTCATTAACATTTTTGGAAAGCCACACAAGCAGGCAGGAGAAAGCAAGCCTTTCATGTCTGGTCTCCTCTAAAATGCTGCCCACCCTATTACGTTTTCCAGTCATCCCTTCTTCCTTCAAGATGCTGCCCCCAAATCATCTCCCCATGAAGCACTCCGAACCCCTCTCCCAAGCCAGCTGGAAGCCAGGGGTTACTCCCAGTCCCCTCCCAGCACATCTGGGCCAGACCTCCGCCCCAACAGCTATGGCACTCCGGACACCTCTTTGCTTCCCTGACTTTCCACCAACATGCTGCAAGCTCCTTGAGAGCTTGCATTTGTGTTTCTGGGGACTGGCATTTTAAGTGAGCACCTGGGGGGCACAAACAGTTTGTGCTCAACTATTAAGTACAAGGTTGGAGGTTTGAACCACCCAGGGGACCACGGAAGAAACGCCTGGTGATCGGCTTCCATGAGGATGACGGCCAAGGAGCCCCTATGGAGCGCAGTTCTAGTCTGTAACATGTGGGGCTGCCGTGTGATGGAGTCAACTCGGCAGCAAGGGGCTTGGGTTGTTTTGTTTGTTTGGACTTGTTGGTTTGTTTGGCATTAAGTGGACACCACACCAGGTACAGTGTCAAACGGCTGCCAAGTTTCCCCCAATGAGGACATTGCTGTTCTATCAGAGTGCCACTGAGAAAAGTGGTGAAGGGACAGGCTCCACGATTTCTTCACTGAAGAAGGAACACTGAACGGGATGAAGAGGAAGCAGGAGGTCAGAAAGTGAGGAAAAAGGAACCAGGTCCCAGGATGAGACTCTTAAGCAGAAAACTTCAAAATCAAGTCCGGAAATGTGCCCGTTTCCGGGAGGAGAAAGGAGACACCACCTCACCTGAGCCATGGCTGTAGGCGGCTCCACTCCTGCCCCAGCTGCCTGGTGCCTGCAGCTCCTCTCCTGGTGAAGAACGGCAGTGTCCCTGGAAGGCGGAGCTGGGGGAGGAGAAGGAGAAGCTGAGACCAGGCTTACAACCCACTGCCTGCCTGCTCAATCTTGAACCACAACCATAAATCAGAAAGGAGGAAGAGGCCAATGCTCAGGGACCAGCAGGAAGAGACCATTTTTGCCAGATGGCAGGGATACGGTCATGCCTTTACCGAGGGGTAGCAATGGGAGTTTTCTTTCCTTCAAGTGTTTGGAAATAGGGAGTTGTCTGGTTAGGGTGACAGGTCCCTGGATGGTGCACACTTTGTGCTCCGGTACTAATCAAAATCGCTGAGTTGAAATCCACTGGATGGCACCTAACATCTTATCAAAAGGTTGGTGGTTTGAACCCACCCAGCAGCACTGCGGAAGAAAGGCCTGGCAATCTTTCCATAAAGACTGCTGTCCTGTGCCGTGGTGGACTCCATTCTGACCCACAGCGCCCCTAGAGGACAGAGTGGAGCTGCCTACAGGGTCTCCCAGGCTGTCAATCTTCACAGAAGCAAAGCCCAAACCACACCCACTGCCTGGAGTCCCTTCTGACCCACAGCGCCCCTAGAGGACAGAGTGGAGCTGCCCCACAGGGTCTCCAAGGCTGTCATCTTGACCGGAGCACAGTGCCAGGTCTTTTCTCCCGGGGAGCTGCTAGGTGGCTTCCAGTGGCCAGGAAAGCCCTACGGCACAGTTCCGTGGAACACATCGGGTCGCCGTGGGCAAGGAGTTTTGTGGTTTTGTGGTTCGTGTGGCCCTGAGGAAGTCGGGATTCCTCCCTGCGCCCCTGCTTGATGCTCAGACTCAAAACGTGTGGATCCCGGACCACCAGCCTTGAAAAGACCTGACACACCGTTCGGTCCCCCAAGATCTCCTCCTCTCTCAGCTCTGAGGGGAACTCCTCGCTGCCCACTCGCCCGGCCCGGCCCTGTCACCCTCACCTCTCTTTTCTGCCCCCGCGCTCCCTGCCCCTGGCTGGCCCTTGGCTGAGACACCGTTCCTCGGGCTCGGTCTCCCCCGAGCACGTCTGACGGAAGCCGCCCGCGTCCTCCCGGCTCTGGGGCCTCGGCCCGGCCTCGGCTTGGTGCGGGGACCGCCGCGGCCCGCGAAGGACTCGTGCTCGCCGCCGCTCGCACTCACTGTCCCCATGTCACCCGTGGGGCGCGCACACACTCGCCGAGGTCGCACGGACGCCCTCCCGGTCACGCCCTCCTCGGCGGCCGGTTACACAGGCCCGCGGGCACACGCGTCCGTCACGCGCGGCGGCGGGGCGTCCCCTCACGGGCGGTCACCCTCCAGCCACACGTCCACCGGGCCCCACCCTCGTCGCGGCGGCCGCGCCCCCGCCTCATAACCAAACGGGACCGCACAAACGGGGACGCCGAGCGCCCACCGGAAGTGGGCGTGCCCCGCCTGCCGCAGTGCCCGCTGGGAAACGTAGTCCCCCACAGGAACCGCGATGGCGGACTCCTGTGCTCACACGACTTGGCGCGCGTCTGCTGCCGGCCTATACAGGGTGGTCCCTCCAGGCCTTACGGATCCTAGCCCCCCATACTGCTCTCGACACCCAGCGGCTGCCTAGCCGTAAGCACGGGCCGTCCCAACGGCTTCTGGGAATCGGCACCAGGATTGGGCCGGGGTCTGCGGCGAGGGGCGCGGCTGCGGGCGTCGGGGCTTAAAAAGTTGACGTCTGGAGGGGCAGGTGCGTTGGTCCCAGGTGTCGGCTGCCTGTTGTGACGTAGTCGCCACCAAAGAAGGGGAGACGCGCGGCCGCGAAGCATCAGAGGGCGAGGCAACACTTGGGCCTTTGGTTGCCTTAGTATGTGCCTTGTTCGCCTCATACTTCCCCCCCGGGCTAAGGTACCTAAAACCGTTTGACCCCGAGAGGGTTTTGGGACTGGCTTTTGGTGACGCCCCTCCCGCCGCCCAGTGTCCCTGCTACACAGACCTCCAGCGCCCTGCCCCACCCCCCAGGGTACTGTATCTCCCACTTGGCAGCCTTTGTACTTGACTGTCCTGTGTCTGAAACAGTTTCCCCAAAACTTTTCTCTGGCCCGGCTCCGTCTTGTAATTAATGCCCTCATGACTAGAAAAGTCTTTCCTCAGGTTAGGTCACAAAGCAAACCTCGGTAACTTTTAATTAAAAGAGTTAAATCATAAATATTTTCTCTGCGCACAAAGGAGTGAAGCCAGAAAACAGTAACAGGAGAAAGAAAATAATGAAAATACGCAAAAATTAGATGGGAAGTTTTGCGATCTGAGAATGCATGGTAATGGGGGAGGAACAAATCGGAAAGGAGGGTGGGAAGGGGTGCACAACTGGAAGGATGTGATCATGTCACTTAACTATGCATGTCAACACTGTTGGTGTATGTACTGCTGTGTAGAGTCTCAACAACAACAAAACACATTTTTCATCTCATTTGTCCTGTCAAGTCAGGTTATGTCTTCATCCATCAGAGATGGTCTCTCAGTAGAAAAGTCAGCTGCATGTCGTTTGCAGCCTCATCAGAGCTGTTCAGAGCTTTGTGCCTGGGGCTGACAGGCACGTCCAGCATGTGCTTGATGCTCAGTGTAACTCCACTAGTTGCACAGGCAGGAATCCTGCTGTCATTCAGCATGCCAGACACACTGACCCCACACAGCCGATCACGCGGAGCCACAAGACTGCAGCCAGAAGCCAGGCCTCCTACCAGTCAGCAGGCCTCACTTTCTGAGACCCACTGGCCTCTGAGATGGCATTCAGGTGACTTCTACAAAAGCCACCTGCTGCAGAAAGGACATCTGTGCTCTCCTTGGAACACAGTTCTGACAAAGGCTCCGTCTTATTCTGACTGACACAGCCACCTAACAGCTGTGGCAGGCACTGCTGGGTGCCTCACCCATATCAATTCTAACCCCTTCTACTCAAACAGGACCCTGACTTTCTTCAGGGTGGCAATTTTCCCAGTAAAAATATCTACCCAGCTGCCCTTGAATCAAACAGTGGGCCTGTGACCCAGGTCTGACTAATGAAATACAATAACAAATTACTGGGGACTATGGGGGCTAGGGGAGCTCTGGTAGCATAGTGGCTAAGACACTCGCCTGCTAACCAGACGGCTGGCGGTTCAAACCCACCAGCCACTCCTCAGAAGGAAGGTTGGGCAATCCTACTTCCGTAGTGATACTGCCTCGGAAACCCAAGTAGGGGTCGCTATGAGTCGGGGCCGACTCGACGGCACACAACAACAACAAGAACAACAAATGGAGGCTAGGGAAAGGAGTTTTCACTGCTATTCATAAGGTTTTCAGTGACCAATTTTTTCAGAAGTGGAAGGCACTGTCCTTCTCAGTGTGTCTTTGTGTGGAAGCTCCGTGGAAACCTGTCCGCCTCGGGTGGCCCAGCTGGTATTTGTAATACCAATGGCATAGTTTCCACCCTTACAGCAATACACAAGCCACCACAGTGCCACAAACCAACAGAGTTTTGTTCTCTTGTACATAGGGTTGCTATGAGTTGGAGCCAACTTGAAGGTGCCTAGTAACAACAGGGGAAGGAGGGCAGGGACCCTTTTTCTCCTGCTCCCCGGTGGTCTCCTGCAAGGCAGCAGCAGTAGGCACCCGAGGGCTTTGGCAGAGGGCTGCAGGCTCCAGCTGTGGTAGCGGCAGCTTCAGGAGCGTCAGCGGGAAGGTAAGCGGTCTGGTGCCCTGTTAAGCACAGCAGTGCAGCTTTCAACACCCACCAGCACTGACGGCATCCGTGCCTCCAGCGCGTCAGCAGCAGACACAGACTGCGGGTCCAGCCCATAGCACGAGCAGCTTCTTGCTCTCTGACTGCTTTGCTCCTCCAGCCCCTGCAGCACCCTTTCATCATGAACTTACCGCTGGGTGCTGTCAAGTTGATTCTGATGCACAGTGAACTCATGGGATAGAGGAACAGCCCCAGAGAGTTTCCTAGGCTGTCACCTTTACAGGAGCGTATCACCAGGTCTTTTCTCCTGCAGAGTCACTGAGTGAGTTTGAACTTCCAACCTCAGTTATCAGCCAAGGACTTAACCACTGCACCACCAGAACTCCTTTCATAACAATTTACCTCTATTCAACTTGTTTAAACTACCATAAATGCGTCTAACTTAAAATAACAAACCAGGAGAAAGGGGTTCCAGTTTAGTAATGGAGTTGTTGTTGTTGTGTGCCGTCGAGTTGGACCCGACTCATAGCAACCCCGCCCTGGGTTTCTGAGGCAGTATCACTACGGAAGTAGATTGCCCCATCTTCCTTCCGAGGAGTGGCTGGTGGGTTTGAACCGGAGTAGCTAGTATCAAATTAACTCTCCAGAAGATAAAAATTAGAAACTATCGACAGAATACAGGAAAACCTGTTGAAAAGCGCTGACGAGCAACCCAGGCAGAAACTGGAGGGGCCTCAACCTTTGTCAGGATGGTCAGCTCCGGTGAGACCCAAGTTTAGATGGCTTTTCCTCTGAGGACACACCTCCATCATGGAAAGCAGGGAGGAAGAACTCCAGCACACAGTCTTCAAGCGCCAGAAGGGCCAGAATTGAGAGCAACATCCACAGAGAGCCCAAGATGAACATATAAACTCCTGTCAATCTCTTGGCCGACTCTTACACCATGCAGGTTTGGGCTGGACTGTAAGGAGTTCAGTAGACAGGAACAGCTAGACATCTGAACAAGCTAAGCAGACACTGCAGGTGCCTCCAAACACAAAGAAGAACATTAGTTTGAGTTCTACCAAGTTAGAGGAGCTTAAACATCTAAGCTTTCTAAGCAAAGTCCAGAATGACAATGGCTTTGGAGAAAAGACTGTGTCACAAGACTAAGGGGTTTATGCTAAGACTGAATGCATAGCCGAACGAGATTCATCCTAAAAAAGAAACCTCCACAGCCAGTAATGCAGCACCAGCTAGAACAGGCACTAGAGCCATTTACAGGGAAACAAAACAAAACAAGACAGAAACGCAGAATTCAGGGTCTCCACAACGTATTAGCTGGTGGAAGGTGGCAGTGGCTTAAACTTCTGCAGTTAAAGCATTTTTGCTGAGACCAGCAGTATAAATATTCTTAACAAGCATTCCAAAAACAAAAAACCAAACTCAGTGCCATCAAGTTGCTTTGACTCATAGTGACCCCACCTTGGGTTTCTCAGGCAGCATGTCTACAGAAATAGATTGCCCAGTCTTCTTTCTGAGAAGTGGCTGGTGATTTGAGCCACCAGCCTTCTGGTTAGCAGTCAAATGCCTTAGGCACTATGCCACCAGAGCTCCCTAACAAGTATTAAGCAATTCTTATCTAAGTTAGAAATTCTGATTGTCCTCTTTGTTATTCCAACAGCAACACTTTGACAAGGAAAAGGCTGAATGCCTTTCTTTAGAAAGGTTGGAATGAAAATCTCAATTAAAAACAGAGATCCAGTTTAGGTCTGAAGTCCCCTATTCAGATGTGCTAGCACCTCGATTTTTGAAGGTTCACCATCACAAACTACAGAAAACATTCAACCCTCAAGGTGTAATACTGAAGGATTCTATAAGCAAAACAATGAAAAACATAGGAAGCATCCAAAGAAGATGGAATATGTAGAGCCACTGTACCAAAAATAAATGATTGACATTCAATCATTTCAGCAGGTAGCATGTGATCGAGAACTGATGGTATTCACTACTAGGTACATATCCTACAGAAATAGGAGCCCTGAAATGGATAAAGGCCCACTCACGTTCATTGCAGGACTATTCATAATAACAAAAGCTGGAAATGATCTAAGTGCCCAACAACAGATGAATGGATACACAAACTATGGTACACGTATTTAATGGAATAATACATAATAAAGAATGATGAATCTGCAAAATATCTCATAACAGCATCAACCTGGAGGACATTATGCTGAGTGAGTGAAGTAAATCAATCACAAAAGGACAAATATTGTATGAGACCATTACCATTAACAAACAGACAAACAAAAATGTTTACACACAGAAAAATGTCCCTTGATGGTTACCAGGACTGAGAAGGGGAGGGAGGGAAAATCACTAACTAGAGAGTAGGCATGTATTAACTTGGGTGAAGGGGAAGGCAGTATACAGCAAGGGGGAGGTCAGCGTAACATGACCAAGGCCAAGGCAGACACTGGGAGATAAGAACAGTAACAAGAATTTAGGAATGGATACATCAATTGATAGGTATGCAAGATGGATAGGTATGGGAGGGTATATGAGATACATCTAGAAAGATGTTCAAGTTTGGCAGAGGCTATTTCTATGTACGTATTTTTAAATGCTGTGAATATATCCACGTATACAGTGGAGTACACAGGGGACAGCGGTATGGAAACTTCTCAGCCACAACCAAATACCTTAGGGTATGAGTCACTGGGCTTGGGGGCTCAGGACCATAGTCTCAGGAGACATCTAGGACAACTGGCCACAAAGACATAGTCCACAAAGACAATGCTTTACATTCTGCTTTGGTGAGTAGCAAATGGGTTCTTAAAAGCTTGTGAATAGCCATCTAAGATGTAACTATTGGTCTCTCCCTGTTTGGATCAAAGAAAAGTGAAGAAAATCAGTGACTCAAGGATATTTGTCCAAAGGACTAATTCACCATGCAAACCCCAATCTCATTAGCCTGAGATCAAAAGAACTAGATGGTGCCCAGCTACTGCTCTGGAATGTTTTGACAGGGATCA